AGGTCATTTGTTTGAACAAACTTGGTAGCACTTCATCCCAGCATGTAACTGGCCAAATATCATCATCCAAGGCCTTTTGGTTATTGAGAGGAAGTTGTTGAGAGGTATTTAACATATTTGACCCCTGTGACCTTGCAAATAGATGAAGGTCATTCATTTGAACAAACTTGGTAGCCCTTCATCCCAGCAAGTTACTGGCCAAATATCATTATCCTTTCCCCTCTTGGGTGTTCAGAAGAAGATGTTAAAATGTTTTAAACATATTTGACCCATGTGACCTTGAAAATGGGTGAAGGTCATTCATTTTAACAAACTTGATAGACCTTGATTCCAGCATGCTACTGGCCAAATATCATCATCCTAGCTATAGGCCTTTTGGTTATTGAGAAGACGCTGTTGAAAGGTATTTCACATATTTGACCCCTGTGACCTTGAAAATAGATGCCAAATATCATCATACAAGGCCTATTGGTTATTGAGTAGAAGTTGTTTAAAGGTTTTTAACTTATTTGAACCCTTGTGACCTTGAAAATAGATGAAGGTCATTCGTTTGAACAAACTTGGTAGCCCTTCATCCCAGCATGTTTCTGGCCAAATATCATCACCCTAGGCCTCTTGGGTATTCAGAAGAATTTGTTTAAAGTTTTAACATATTTGACCACTGTGACCTTGAATATGGGTGAAGGTCATTCATTTGAACAAACTTTGTAGCCCTTTATCTCAGCATGCTACTGGCCAAATATCATCACCCTGGGCATTTTGGTTATTTTGAAGAAGTTGTTTAAAGTTTTTAACATATTTGACCCCTGTGACCTTGAATATGGGTGAAAGTCATTCATTTGAACAAACTTTGTAGCCCTTCATCTCAGCATGCTACTGGCGAAATATCATCACCCTGGGCATTTTGGTTATTGAGAAGAAGTTGTTTAAAGTTTTAAACATATTTGACCCCTGTGACCTTGAATATGGGTGAAGGTCATTCATTTGAACAAACTTTGTAGCCCTTCATCTCAGCATGCTACTGGCCAAATATCATGACCCTGGGCATTTTGGTTATTCAGAAAAAGTTGTTTGAAGGTTTTTTAAGAAAATTGACCCCTGTGACCTTGAATACAAGAGGCCCAGCCCAAGAGGGCCTGTATCACTCACCTGAATATTTAAGCAGTCATAGCAAAATATTCTCATTAAATATTATATTGCACTAAAAATATTTTAGTTCTTAAGAACAAATCCATTAAACTTTGTTGGGCTCTTTCCCAGGAAATAACCAGCCGAATATTAAGGTTCTATTACTTCCAGTTCTTCAGAAGAAGTCATTTGAAGTGTTTGACATATCTGCCTCATGTGACCTTAAAAGTAGGTAAGGTCATTTTCATCCTCAAACTTTGTTGGGCTCTTTCCTAGGAGGCTACAAGCCAAATATAAAGATTCTATACGTTTGAAGTGTCTAACACATTTGACCTCTGTGACCTTGAAAGAAGGTCAGGGTCATTTTCTTCCTCAAACTTTGTCGGGCTCTATCCCAGGAAGCCATCAATTAAATATAGAGATTCTATACCTCTCAGTTCTTCAGAAGAATTAATTTGAAACTTTTGAAACATTTGACCCCTGTGACCTTGAAAGTAGAACAAGGTAATTTTCATTCGCAAACTTTGTTAGGCTCTATCCCAGGAAGCCACCAGCCAAATATAAAGATTCTATACCTTTCAGTTCTTCAGAAGAAGTTGTTTGAAGTGTTTGACACATTTGACCCCTGTGACCTTGAAAGCAGGTCAAAGTCATTTTCATTCTCAAACTTTGTTACGCTCCATCCCAGGAAGCCATCAGCCAAATATGAAGATTCTTTACCTTTTAGTTCTCCAGAAGAAGTCGTTTGAAGTTTTTGACATATTTGACCCCTGTGACCTTTAAAGTAGGTCAAGGTCATTTTCGTTCTCAAACTTTGTAGGGCTCCTACCAACAAAGCTTTCAGCCAAATATCATGACTGTAGGCCTATCCATTCTTCAGAAGAAGTTGTTTTAAGGAAAATTTGACGGACGAGGACAGACGGACGGACGCCGCACCACGACATAAGCTCACTAGCCCTTCGGGCAGGTGAGCTAATAATTGAAGGTCATTCATTTGAACAAACTTGGTAGCCCTTCACCCAAGCATGCTACTGGCCAAATATCATATCCCTGGACAGTTTGGTTATCAAGAAGAAGATGTTTAAAGTTTTTAACACATTTGACCCCTGTGACCTTGAAAATGGGTGAAGGTCATTAATTTTAACAATCTTTGTAGCCCTTTATCCCAGTTTGCTTCTGACCAAATATCGACACCCTAGGCCTTTTGGGTATTAAGAAGAAGTCGTTTAAAGTAAAATATTGACACCGGACGGCGCACCATGGCATAAGCTCACTTGGCACTTTGTGCCAGGTGAGCTAAAAATGGAATGGTAATGGTAAAACAGCGGAATTGCTTTTCGTTGTGTCACTTGTATTCGTTTCCTATAATATAAACATCTGCATTTTGTATCAACCGAAACTGCCATATTTGAAAGCTAGTAAAATGAAGCTAACAGAGTGTTTTTCGTGATAAATTATTATTAATATGCTCTGTTAGAGTGATTGGAGCATTCAAATGGGGGTAATTAATACCTAAACTGTGTGTACATCTAGTTGTCATCAAGTTTTGAGTCAAAACAGGGATGTACAGTAATTGAATCCTTTCTTCCGTCTAGATTTCCGAAAACGAGTATATTCTCATCAGTCCGCACAATTACATAAGACAATAAATCAGCCGGCCGCTATGTTACACCAGTAGGTCATTTAAACCGAAAATCGATTATCGATCGATTATATGGTGTTCCGATTATCGATCTTGAATATTTGACCGATTCCCAGCACTAGTATCTGTACCAATAACCGGAAACATAGATTAAATCGAGTTTGACATGAGGTCGATTCGATAATCGATTTAGCACATTATATCATGAAAGATCGATTTTGAAACTTAGTCACCAAGAAGATCGTTTTTTGTAAGTTTATCATGAAATTCTTATATTTAATATACATACAGTTGCTTTTCAAGTTAAATCCAAAATAAAATGTCCCTTTCACCCGTTCTGGTTGATTCTTGCTTGAATCATGCCAGCATTCAAGCGTGGTAGCTATAGCGTCATTACGTTAACAAGGTCAGTGCAGTGTTTTGTAGGTCAGCTAAATTTATTACTGTCGAAATCCGGAAGTACGGCAAATTGCGGCCATCGGAATGAAAACACTTTTTTTGTTAGTGAAGGGATGCATGGTGGGACATAAACTTCACAATACCAACTCAATTTGACTCCATTTCAAATGGGTTAACTTGATTAACAAAAATAAATGTCGCAACAAGTACTTAACCCAAAATGCATAACCTGATTTGTTTGTGTTACGATCGCTATCATCATGACTCGTCTGCAGGAGATTGGAAAAGGTACCCTATGTTCACTTCTGAAACGGTAATCTACTGGGCATTGTCAATTTCTGAAGTACCTTTTCTCATCATATGAACGTCTCTTAGATCAAGTTTTTTGGAAAATAACATGTACGTGTAGTTATGTATTCTATTTGGCATTTATTTCAACCGATAATCGATTACTGATCGATCTTGAATGTCCGATAATCGATCTTCAAAATCAGACCTATTCCCAGCATTACATTAACTTGTAAATTTCATCAGTCGTTGATCTAAGTTAGAATGATGGTAGCATATAATAGATATTCATATCAGTAAGCGCCCTATCTAGCTAGAATAAGCCACTCTAAAGCGCTTTACAGCACATAGATATATAATTAATACAATTAGCATATATACATTAATCAATACAATTAATTTATGAGGAATTCGCATGAGCTGCCTTATATTATCAGGCGCTAACTACTAATCCTATGCCACCTGGCTAATATCTCCCTATGTGTGTATGCTGGAGATGTATTGTGTTCTGTTTGTAGTGGGACTGTGATTCCAAGGGAATCATTTTTAGTGCCACATCATTGCAAGTGAATGCTACAGGACAGTTGTGTGGGCAGGAGAAAAATACTTTCTCTGAATAATCCATGCGCACGACAACCTCGGGAAGGATGAAGTGTTAACCACTCGACCAATCCGCCCATATATATATTTAATGAATTCTATCATTTAAATGTTTAAAATTCTCCCTATAATTTTCTATCGTAAGAATAGCTCTTCAGAGCTAATGTTTCATGTTACATATATACGACAAAAAAAATAAAGGTTCTTGTATCATTGAAGAGATTTAAAAACTTGGACAAAACCAAATGTATAAACTACAAGTTACAACGGTAACAGTAACTGTATATTTACTACTAGTGTACATCACATATTGATTGTTATGTTAGGACACCAGTAATAGTGATACCCAGCTACCCGAAATCATCACAGACCATGGGTCGAGTTACATGTTCATTAATCAACATGTGAGGAAACGGAGACCCTGGTCAAGGTGAATACCATATGAGTCACGCATACAGTGTATCGTACACATGTACAACACTCGTGTGTGCGTTTCGCATGTGTCAGACATTGTCGCCACATAAACAAGAAGCTAATGGTGTTTACCGGCACTTAAACGACCGGAAACAACACAAATTCATCAAATATTCTGAACATGTAAATTGTGATATGTGACACTGGTCTCCAACGTAAAAACAGTCTGGTCAACAAGCGTTTCTTTGTGTAGACTTATCAACACCGCCTCGGAGACAAAAGAGGCTACACGTTCTATCGTAAAAATTAAGAGGGACATGACTCATTATCGAGTCTGGCCTAATGCTTGATACGTATATTGACACTGATGTCATTTCCTTTGCTTCTTAAACTCCATTCCGACATGATGACTCGCACACTGTATCAGCCAGCTCATCCAAGTCGGTCCACCAAACCATCGCCTCCTTGTTAACCCTTCGGGGTGGTTACTTATCTTCCTCCCCACATATACGAAAGGATTTTCACTTACCTGATTAAAACAATGAATGTTGGTCACTTTCAAATTCATATTAAAGCATCATGGAATAGCACATGGTTGATTTTCATAAGATTCCACTGTGTCAGAAGCCAAACCTTCCAGCTGCCATTTTATTTCATCAATGCTAGCTATTTTTAGCGTCCAATCAAATTGATCTATTTGCTTCGCCGGCTTCTGCGGATCCCAAAGTAACTTCCGGTGTTGCGGCTGCTGATGCGTCCAGATAAAATATCTATCTAGGCCTACGTATACGACTAAGGATGCATTTTTTAAAACTAAGAATCTCAAAGGCGAGGAATAGATATCTCATATAAAAAAGTGTGACCTCATTAGTAAGCAAATACTATTTTCATTTACAAGGCCGGTTCCTTGCAAAAAAAAAAAAAAATCAGTTATTTCCAAACACTGTCATAAACATTAACAGAAGCGGATCAAAATTAACAGAAGCAGGTTTAGCTATATGGAGTTATATGTAAGTTATAGATCTTTTTAACGTTGGATTTACCGTGAATTGATAACATTTCTTAAGGCTTTTCAGTTTCATTGTTACGTGTCGAAAATAGTAACCAGCCTACGTTAGGGGACTTTTCTTTGAAGCGATCAGACCCTTAGTTAATTATATTGTAAATAATGTACATCATCACTGTACATTCTTTATATAGATTGTTTTATGTATATCATATACTACACAATGGGCCCCATAGCCCAAAGTCTGAATACATCTTTAGCCTTTCTCCTTTGAAATGCTGCATAACAATAAAAATAAAACAACACTGATTCAGTCAGCTGTTATTGTATCATTTGATATTATAGACAATGCATCACAGAATTTCAAACAATGTTAATTAGTAAATACTAGAAACCTGGGATATGTATACTTTCTTTTTCTGTGATGATTATTAGTGTTTTATTATAAATAATATGTGATTATCTCCATTTACTTGTAATATAATATGTTATTGTTATTTTTACATATGTTCGCCGCAATAATAGCTCTCAAGAGCTAATGTTCCTTGTTTACCTGTATGCGACGTTAAATAAAGTTTCTTGTATCTTGTTTTAATTCTAGTCCACAACAATTAAATATTGAATAAAATGCGGGTGGGTCTGGGTATCTTACAGCTGTGATGTCATAATAACCACGGGCTTATATAGATAGCATCTAATTCCATGTAATAACAAAGAATTGTAAAAAAAAAAAGTATACGTCTCTGGTAACTATAAGTACTCATATAATCTAGCAGAAACAAAGAGTCGTGTTAAATACCTCTGTCGCGACAAATATTCTTAATACAAAAATAAAGAAAACGATACTATAACAGTGAAGATGATCATGCCATTTCTGCCTCAGTCATTCGGAGCTCAGATGTAAGGCCATTGGCAATTTTTCTAGAGAGTTTCTAAGTAAAATATGACCGGGAAACGCTAGTCTCGTTCAACCAGACTCTTGTTGTCTGCGCAAGCTACGCCGAACAGAGAGTCTCTTGAATTACGCGTGATCAAGCGTCTGGTTGAACGAGACTAGGGAAACGCGAGCGCGTGAGATCACATGATGTTTTATTTCCGTCACGTGATCAATATAAGCAATCAGATATGCTGTTATATAGATAAGGCAATGATATGTCTCAACATTCCATTGCCGAAAAACATGAAATTATACACTGTAGTTATGAGATTATTACATGATAATTGTTACTGTTCGTATATATATACAATGTCTGATTATTACTCCGGGTTGTATGATGTAAGTATTTTCCAAGTCATCATGTACATAGTGTCTTAGGGCCATAGTGACAATTTGATTTATATTTAGATATGAATATTAATAAATATTAAAAATAATAAAACAATTATATTATTCAGTTATACTTAAAGATAGACATGACTTCTTTACGCAAGTAACTTGAAGTAAGTCAACTCAGCGACAACTTCCACTACGCTCCCGCCATTGTACCCTTTAATCACGACTAAATCAAAACACAGTACCGGTCAACTTATCCGGTCAACATATACCATTACAACATACCGTATTACAATTAAATACATTGTAATATCTAGCAAAGCACAATTAAATACATTGTAATATCTAACAAAGTACAATTAAATACATTGTAATATCTAGCAAAGTAAATTAAATACATTGTAATATCTAGCAAAGCACAATTAAATACATTCTTATATCTAACAAAGTACAATTAAATACATAGTAATATCTAGCAAAGTACAATTAAATACATTGTCATATCTAGCAAAGTACAATTAAATGGTGTGTTCTCCTTTCTCCCACTTTTTAAAAAACACATAAAGGCAGTAATGTTGTGATAGCAGTTATAGTCTGTTTCATGTATATTTTACCTGTTTTTTACCTGTGTTCTCCCACATTATCTGTAACATGTATATATATATCGATTGTATATAGTCTATTTTCATCCTTTTTAGCCATATCATATACCATTTTCATCAGCTAGATCATACAAAACTATAACGCGAAATCCACAATTATTTTATATATTTTATATACTTAATAGTATATATTTAGATGCTAATGCTTTGATTAATGTATTTTTTTTTAAATTCAAATTTAGATTGATTTAATTTAGGGTGAAGTAAATTCATAATGGAGCATTATTTTCAGAGAATCTTTTTTTTTACCAATAAATTCGTCTTCAGTGTAATTATTAATAACTGAGTATCACTAATTTGATTATTTTCCCCTAAAACATAATCATTAGTTTAATTTCTATTTGATAAACCCATATGGAATGGGTCCACTGATATTTCTAGTTGATAATAATGAATCTTAACACCTTACGCCGACAATCTCTTCTGTGATGGAACGTTTTACATGTGCCCGACTCAGTTTTAGCAGAGGACATAGACGATGCTGATGTACCACAGGACACCACTCCATTTACAAACGATGCTGATGCCCCAACAGGACACCACTCCATTTACAGACGGTGCTGATTTACCACAGGACACCACTCCATTTACAGACGATGCTGATGTTCCACAGGACACCACTCCATTTACAGACGATGCTGATGCACCACAGGACACCACTCCATTTACAGACGGTGCTGATTTACCACAGGACACCACTCCATTTACAGACGATGCTGATGCACCACAGGACACCACTCCATTTACACACGGTGCTGATGTACCACAGGACACCACTCCATTTACAAACGATGCTGATGCACCAACAGGACACCACTCCATTTACAGACGGTGCTGATGTACCACAGGACACCACTCCATTTACAAACGATGCTGATGCACCACAGGACACCACTCCATTTACAGACGGTGCTGATGTACCACAGGACACCACTCCATTTACAGACGATGCTGATG